TATTCAGATGATGACCCCATTGGACAAAGACACTGCACCCCTCATCCCAAAGGCTACCTGGAGCGGGGTCCAACAGCCTTCATTCTTACGTTAACATTCCCTCAGATATTTAAGAGAAATGCAGTGATTCCACCGCTGATTTAAAAGGATGGTCAGATGTCCCGTTGTCACCGGCACAGTAGTTTTTTTTTTCGGCATTTACCTGTCGACCCGTCGGCCCTCTAAAAAAAAAGTAAATTATCCCGTCTTATTTGAAACAAAAAATAATGTAGGAATAAGCTCTAAAACAAAACATACTCTAGGCAGATACTTTTAATGCTTAAGGTATGTTAATGTAAATGTTGAATGAAGAATCGACATCCTATCACTCGGAACAACTCCACAAGCGCTCCGTCCCCATCTTCAGCCGCAAGCGAAGAGTTAAAATACCGATGGTACCAGCAACTGTCTGATTATATATCCGTCTCGCCTTTCCCCTTAGTGTCGAGCGTCGGTCAGATCCCCATTTAACTCCTCGCAGTGCCATTCTCCTCAGACCGTAATGATCTATCTGTGCCTCTGCACTGTTCACTCGCTCCCAAAGGGCCCTCACAATATCCAGCTTGTCATACATCAGTTCACCACCAAGTGGTGCAGAGCCGGCCAGTCTATCCGCCTGCTCATTTCCCAACACACCGGCATTTCGTGGAGAAAATATTCAAATGATGCTAACTACCCGGGACTTTTGAAGTGTCTTAATGGGAAGTTTCACTTTAACATATTTGTTGTTGTTTAGTACAGTTAAAAAGCCCATTGTTGCGTTTATTTCTTGGCGACAATGCTTTGCGCTTTAACACCATTGCTGAGCGAGTAATTAATCCTTTCAGTCTAGAGACCGAATAAAAAATGTGAGTTTTAACTAACTTGCCTGTGAAGTGCCGTTTTCAGCCCAAAATATTGGAGCGAAATCTCGTTTTCAGTTCAAGAAATTAAAGGCATGTCCCGGTTTCAGACCTATATTTTTTTTTTGACCAATCGGCACTTAGTGGGTGATGTGGTCAGCATCACACTGACCGCTTTTACTTCCAATGATTGCACCTGGTAGCCACTCAAGGCATACATACATTGTGTGTGATGGTGATTAGTGTAACCATTCCCGTTCTACAAACTCGACATTCCTCAGCTCAAGTTTAAATACACTTTTGTTCAATACCTTGTCTTAATATTCTCTACTCCGGGTGTTTTATACAATCTCTTGAGCTTAAAAGGTGAATATATATATATATATATATATATATATATATATATATATATATATATATATATATATATATATATATATGTGTGTGACCACTGGAAAGATCTGTGGAAGGAGGGATAGAGGAAGACAACGAGAGAAGATTCTTTACAGTCTTGTTGCATGGCATGGAGGTGAGTCGGCACACGAACTTATATATACATGCTGCAGGAGATCGCAGATTATGGAGAGGCATGATCGCCCACGCCAGTCGGCAAGGCACCTGATGATGATGATGATTTTATATAATTAATTTAAATTTAAAAAAAAAAAAAAAAACATGTTATATGTATGGCAGGACACTAGACATTCACGGATTAGCATGAAGGCCCCCCTCCCCCTCCCCCGTGTGTTCGTTGTCCCCCTCCACTCCACGGGACAAGTGCCCAGCGGGTCTGGTTCCGAACAGGAGTTTTCAGGATATTTGTTAAAGTCTGACGGCATGAGTTTTGTAACGCACTATGGAAACAACATTGTAAGTCTAGATAATTTATTTCAAACGAACGAAGGAGAAGCAGAATACTGAATTTGTGTGATTTTTACACGCCGCTGGATAGGGTTGAAAAATATATACTAGACTTACGACCAGTTCGACTTAAAACCTATTCGTCGAAAAGGGAACTGGGTCGTAAGTCAAGGAGACTCGGTATTTAAAAATTATAACCACTTTTTCAACGGGACAATATAAGAGTATGGGAGCCCATAGTAAACTGTCGAAAAAAAATTAATAAAAATAAAAAGAGAGACAGGTCTAAAATGTTCATAGTCCACTGAATTTAATGTTATTATTGAAAAGGGCCCTTTTCCACGCCTTTAGTAGTATTAGGCATATAGGGCTAGACATCGATTTTATAGACCAATCAGCACTTGGTGGGTGATGTGGTCAGCATCACGCTGGCCGCCTTTACTTCCCAGGACTTTACCCATTTAAGGCTGGATCGACCTGGCAGCCAAGGGGGAAAAACAGGAGTCAGGCTCCGTCCGGATCTGAACCCAGAACCTTCCGACCCGCAGGCTAGCGTCTAGCCGGGACACCACAGAGGTTCCAGAATTCAATGTTGCATTTAACAAATTACATGTTCTGTTTGCAAAATTATACCTTCAGCTAACATATCATGATCTGTCCAATCTACACCTTGATGTAGTCAGTGGATCCCATGTTCCCAGTGTGGGAACAAATAATAGACCCACCCCCCCCCCCCCCCCCCTCTACAGCAAGTCGTAGCAGGCGACTGATTAGGGCGGTTTCATTCAGAATTGGAGTGCATCTACCTGAGAGGCAAGGAACCATCAGTCTGTATAGAAAAAAAGCCCGGATCTGTAAAACGAATGTGCATGCAGAACTCAAGTTCTAGATCAGAACAAAGTTCGGGAGTTAACAAACAACACGTTCTTTCCGTTGGAGTTTGAAGCCGGTCAACGTTAAGTAGAAGAATCACGTTATTCTCTATGAATCTCACGATACTATCCAAAATGCAATAAATCTCATGTGATTCTACAAAAAACCACACGAATCTCATGTTATTCTCCAGAAATCCAATGTATCTCATGTTATACTACAGAAATCCCATGTTGTCCCAAATGAAATAAACCACAAAGAAATACGATTTTTGTGTAAATGGTTTTTCCCTTACACATTTACACGTTTTTGTATTTCGAAAAAAAAAAACCCCACACACTGGGCTGCGACCCGGTATGAGTGAGACGTCAGTAGTAGTAGTAGTATTAGCAGTAGCAGTAGTAGCAGCATCAGCATCAGCAGCAACAGTAGTAGTAGTAGTAGCAGCAGCATTAGCAGTAGTAACAGTAGTAATAGTAGTAAAAGTAGTAGTAGTAGTAGTAGTAGTAGTAGTAGTAGTAGTAGTAGTAGTAGTAGTAGTAGTAGTAGTAGTAGTAGTAGTAGTAGTAGTAGTAGAAGTAGTAGTAGCAGCAGCAGCAGCAGTAGTAGTGGCAGTAGTAGTAGTAGTAGTAGTAGTAGTAGTAGTAGTAGTAGTAGTAGTAGTAGTAGTAGAAGTAGTAGTAGCAGCAGCAGCAGCAGCAGCAGCAGTAGTAGTGGCAGTAGTAGTAGCATTAGGAGTAGTAGTAGTTGCTGTAGTAGTAGCAGTAGTAGTAGCAGCAGCAGCAGTAGTAGTGGTAGCATTAGCAGCAGCTGCAGTAGTTATAGTAGTTAAACTAGTAATTTTGTTCGATTTATAACCAACCACCATGTCAGTGTCTATTCTGTATATAACTATCTTGTCAATGTCGGTACTGTCTATAACCACTTCAACAATTTCTGTCGTTTCTATCACCACTTTGTCAATATCGCGGCGTCTATAACCACCTTGTCAATGTCTGTACTGTCTATAACCACCTTGTCAATGTCTGTCCCTTCTATTACCATCTTGCTAATGTCTATACTGTCGACAATCACCTTGTCAATGTTTGTACTGTTGACAATCACCTTGCCAATGTCTGTACTATCTATGACTACCTTAACAATTTCTGTACTTTCTATAACCGCTTTGTCAATGTCACGTCGTCTATAACCACCTTGTCAACATTCGCACTTTTATGACCCTCATGTCAGTGTTGGCACTAACTCCAGCCAGCGTATCAATCATTTTTGCGGTGTTTCCTTTGACATCAAGAAGGAATTGTCCCCACACTGGGTGGAAAGTATTGCAAATACATTTTTAATAATTCCTTCCAGGACAGACTTGGCGCCGGCTTTAAAATATGTCTTCACAGAGATTTGTCCAATTTTTTTCAGTGATCCCTCCCTTGGCAGGGACGTCAGAACCTGGGGCCACTGGTATCTCAAGACCATCCTACCAATGGCAATAGCAAACTTCTTTTTCTACAGCATTACGAGTCCTTGAGGTTCACTGCTGCAGATATCACTCGCCTTCACTTATCTGTCTGGTTGGCCTTCTCTTTCCAGTTGGTAACATCACATTTTTGCAGGTCTGTCTGGACGTTATCTCTCCTTCGTCTTCTTGGTCTGCCTCGTGGTCTACGATCATTCAGCTCCCTCGTGCATATATATATATATATATATATATATATATATATATATATATATATATATATATATATATATATATATATTTTACATCTTTGTCATTTGACATTCTCTCAGTATGTCCCAAAGATTTCAGTCTATTAGCTCTCATAATGCCAGTGATCAATGGTGCTTTTACAGATTATGAATTTCGTTGTTGCTTCTCACTCTTCATTTCCCGCTGTTTGCATCTTTGTTAGGTCCAAAGATTCGTCGCAAGACTCTGATATCGAAAATTTGCAATAAGGCTTCATGTCTTTTAGTTGCACTTAAAGTTTCAGAGCCATATAAAACGATTGGTCACACTAATGTTTTATACATTTTGATCTTGGTGTTGCGAATGGCAAACTACAGAAAGTCAAAAATCGATTAGAAAAACTGCAACAGCCAAAATATGCGGGGGTTGGTTCTGCAACGTCATGTCAAGGACACCAGTAATTTTTAACCCATAATTCTAGTGGTGGATTGAACCCGCCCACCCCCTACCCTTCCAAACCACGGCCGGATTTAGACTTGACGATGCCCTAAGCTATACAAAGCTCTGAGGCCCTTACTGTTCTAAATCAAAGCAGCGAATCTCAAACACGTTAAAATATATACCTCTTTATATTTACTGATGATAGAAGTATAGTTTAATTTGTTTTTAAACAAAATAATCAAGAATTGGTTTGCAAATTCCCT